GTGGTTTTGTCTTCATTGTCAGCAACATGTTAGGAATTAGGGGTTGAGGTTGATCTGCATCGGGTGGTATTGAGTTTACAATTCCCGATACCTCAGCCATGAGTGTTACCAAAAGCTCGTGCATAAGTTGGCAAGGACCGAGATCAGAAAACATTCTGTTAAGGACTTGCTGAATGGTGGAAATTTGGCACTCCCAGACTCCGCCAAAGTGGGATGCGTGGGGAGGGTTAAAAACCCACTCACAGTTCTGTTCGACGACATATTTTGCTATTGCTTTATGATCCATCTCTTTCAACGCTTCGTCTAATTCTGACTTTGCCCCGACGAAATTTGTCCCTCGATCACACCTCAATAACGATGGTGGCCCACGAATGGAAAAGAAGCGTCTTAAGGCGCAAATAAAGGAACTTGAGTCCATTGTTTCCAAGACCTCAATGTGGATCGCTCTGCAGTTCAGGCAAGTAAAGACTAAACCCCATCTCTTAGCGTTTGCAGCTCCTCCTCTTAGTCTTCGAGTACGTATCTGCCAAGGGCCAAATACATCAAACCCCACATTTGTGAATGGTGGTGGCGTTTCTAGTCTGTCTGGTGGAAGATTAGCCATATGCTGCATTATAACGTTCCCTCTGAGTTTTCTACACGTGATACACTGGTTGATAATTTTTGAGATCATTCGTTTGGCTCCGATAGTCCATAATCCCCCTTGTCTTAATGCACCATGGGTAATCTGTCTTTCTTGGTGATGCACTTCACTATGGTAATGGGTGATTGCTAGTCTCGCCAAATGACATCCTTTGGGTAATATAGCTGGATGTTTCTCTTGGAACATTTGGTCTGCTTGCCTTAGTCAACCGCCAACTCGAAGGACACCGTCACCGTCGACGAATGGGTCTAGACGATATATACTGGACTTCGGAGAAAGGCTTTTCTGAGACAGTTGGTTTTGCTGAAGGGTTTCGATTTCTTCCGCGTATGCTTCGCTCTGTGCGGTTTTGATCATCACCACTTCGCTCTGTCTTAGTTCTGCAGCAGATGGATTTCTTGGCAGCTTTCGGACTGGTAGTTTGACCAGATGTGTTTGGTGGGCATTCCTTTTGCGGGGTGTTGAAATTTGGTTTTGGCTTTTCAATATCTTTGCTTTGATGATCAGATTGGCAATCGCTCTTCGAAGGGAGTTCCACTTGGAAAATCGATTGAATCTTTCTGAGGTCAGACCTTTGATTACACGCAGTTGGGTAGTGTAGATTGTAGCCTTAACTCGAACTTCTGGATCGTTGTCAGCAATCAAGAAAGGTTCGGGGCTGAGTTCCGTTTGTGCAGGTGGATCAACGTTTCTCAGGAATTCTGGGCCTTTAAACCAAACTGACTCCATCAAATCTTTGGAAGATTTTCCTCTTGTTGCTATATCAGCTGGGTTTTCCTTTGTCTCCACGTATCTCCATTGAGGAGGGTCAGTGATACTTCGGATGATTTGAATTCTGTTGGCTACGTAGACGTAAAAACAATGGCTCTCGTTCTGGATGTAGCCGAGTACTACCTTAGAGTCGGTGTAGAAAATGACTTTGTCTATTCTGAGCTTAAGTTCTCGGGTTATCCACTTGACCGCTTTGCTTGCAAGTACGGCTGCACATAGTTCTAATCTTGGGATCGTTGTCGCTTGTTTGGGAGCTAGCTTTGCTTGAGCGAACACAAGTGAAACTCTACTGACTTCAGCTTGATTGGTTAGCTTCAAATAGACAGCAATACCGATTGCGTAGTGGCTGGCATCGGAAAAGGCATGGATTTCTGCTTTTCTGACCTCATTTGAGTTCTGTGGAAGATAACATCTAGGAATCATGATATCTTGCAGATCGTATAGACCAACTGTCCACTCGTGCCATTTCTTCCAGAGTGAAGTGGGTAAAGGGTCGTCCCACCCTAATGGTAAACTGTCGTTTCCTAGTATTGTCAGCTGCCGTAGTAGGAGTCTTCCCGGTAACGTGACTGGGGTTGCGAAGCCAAGAGGGTCGTATATTGAGTTAATAACTGATAGAACAACCTCGTTCCCAGGCTCTTTGCTCTTGGGAAGCAAAGACCCTGGTCAGAGCTGGTCACGTGAACCCCCAGATTTTGGGGGTAAATTGAATTTGATCTCAGGGAGGGGTAGTAGAGGAGTCTGTTTGTTGCGTTTGGAAAATTGCAACTTTATGTGTTACAATTTCGGGTGATATAAATGTAATTTGCAACAAGAGATTGTGAAAGGAACTGTTTTAAATTGTACCGATCATGACAAGACTTCCTGCTGTACTGAATGTCATCAATAATAAGTGTTGCGGTACATTTCAAGCGAGAAGCTGGATCATATTTCACTTGCAAGGAAAGCACTCCACACGCGCCTGGCTTGCAAAGTTTAGCACGTATCGCCGTAGAAACACACATATCTTCTACACAGAATGATCGATCAAACGATATTAAACTAACGATATGGTTCTCTGGTGTTCTGTCCGATATTCAAAACAAAAGATTTATTTTATAACGAGATCCTTTGATTTCCCAAACATCGCCAACATGTGTATTAAACAATAGTGCTATTTTGACTGTAAAAGCACAGGATTAAAACCCGTTATGGACTGGCTATAAAATTCATTTCATTTACATTGCCGAAACTCGACGATCAAGAAAGATAATGTCGAAGTGTAGCTTGCTATCTGTTATCACACAAACGCCAAGACTCCTCCGCGCGTTTCCGTGCGTGCGGTACAACTTGAATATCTAGGACGATATATGCATCAGACACTGGTATTGTACTTTATATAAATTATTTCATATTTTGTGTATACAGTAATTTGCAACGTGTATAATATTAGACCTTTCATTGACATTGGCATTGTCCATTGAGGGCTTTATTGAAGAATAATCCAGCTTCTTTAGACTTGTAATAATGGATTATCAATATTTAAATCAACTTTAATCTTTATCGTATTCCGTAACCGACATTTTAGATGTTTAGTCTGTTTTACCAAACAATACTGGAGGCAAACAACCTATCTATGTCTATCAATGGAAACTTTTTGGTTTGTTACAGTGAAACTCATTAATATAAGCGAGACTTTGTGTGCATATAATGCAGTTTATGAATTATGTATATTGTCCTGATAAAACGTAGGACACTTTATAGTTTTACCAGATGTAATAAAAAATACTTTGCTAAACCTTTTCTGCTGTCATTCCTTTGCATTTAAGGGGAGAGGGTAAATGGCGATAGAATTTATAGGAGATGATGTGCAATATTTTGAAGAAAATTCATGCAGTTGTGAATTGTCGTATGTCAGCTGTGCACTGTCCATTTCAAACAATTTTGTACGTTATATTTTGTCTTCCTGGTGTTTAATATAAACGATGATAACCTTTTAAAAAATCTAGAGCAATATGTCTAACTCTATATGTATAACTGAAACAGTTTTAGAATCAATAGAATGGACATTCAATGTGTATTTGCCTTGTGTCCAAACGTGTCACATACTTTAAGACCGGCAAGGCGCTAATCCTATGACCTATAAACAGTCGCTTTTGAGACATCTGTTTAACAAAATTTATACCGTGTCCATATTAGAACAATTCATTGGCATATTATAAGCATATTATAAAAATCGGAGCCAGAACAGAAACGCACGTGTGAAATGAAACTACGCCCGAACCGGCGAACCCCGAGAAAATAAAAATATTTCAAAGCGTACAGTCATACGTTCTCGTTGCTTGATTGCCTGAATTTTCTGTTGCTATAAGAATCTGCATTTTAGCATGTTTGTATAATTTAAAAGCAAACAGAAACCAATTTAGCAAGTAGTTTGAGGTATATATGATTCTCGAAGATGAATTAGATGATTGTACAGAACGGCCACTCCTTCAATTGAAGTGCAGAAGTGGAAACATGTAATATGAGACTTTTCCAACCCCCTCTTGGGCTATCAATTTTCTATGGGTCACGTGACCAGCTCTGACCAGGGTCTTTGCTTCCCAAGAGCAAAGAGCCTGGGAACGAGGTTGCTGATAGAACTCCACGACGGGTGAAGGGTTTTTCTGGTAAGGAAATGGACAATGTTAACGCGTCGTTTTGTAAATTCCACATAACACCCAAGGAACGTTGGGTCTCGTTGAAGGTCAAGGTTTTGTATGCAGTCAATTCGATCTTTTGGTGGAAGTGCTTGCATTACCTCTACCGCGTTTGATGCAATCTTGTGTAACTTAAGATTTGCCGTTGCTAACATTGTTTGGGTATTCTTGACGAGATCTATAGCTTCGTCGGGGTTAGAACAAGATGTCAGGCCGTCATCGACGTAAATGGTGTTGCATACAAAGTCGTTTGCAGCGTGCCCAAACTCCTCCTCGCCATCATCGGCCGTCTTCCGCAGGCCAAATGTTGCAACTGCTGGGCTAGACGTATTACCAAACAGATGTACAGTCATTTGATACTCGATAATGTTCTTCGTTTTCTCGTTGTTCTCGAACCACAAAAAGCGTAACAGATTTTGATGGTCAGGATTTACGTAGAAATTATGGAACATTTGTTCAAAGTCAAATACAACGCAAATTTTGTCGGGTTTTGGTGGATGGTAAACGCCAAAGTGTGGTAGATACCAAACGTTTCCTGGCTCATGAGTTGTCTTCGTTACTTTGTTGAGCGGAACTGGTATGGCGTGTCTCCGTTTTAGTAGTTTCTGCATGAATTGAAAGTAGTCCTTTTCCATTTGAGGTTTGCGTTTGAACGAGAGCAACAGATTATTCATACGACTTGCGGCTTGACCTCGATTGTTTGGGAAAGTGACATTGGTCTTTCAAAGGGGAAGTGGCATCTCCCAATTTGTTTTTATGGATACCTGTTTCCATTATTTCTATGAATCGCCGATCTTCTACGGACATACTCTGCTCGTTATCATGACTCGTTGTTCAAAAGACGTCATCCCGGTTGTCCTCCAATTTTTCGCGAGCTTCTTTTATCTCGAACATGTTTGGGCATGGAATGTATTCATGATGCAGGATCTCGTGGGAGGAATTGGCCAATGGTTTTACTTTGGGTTCCACGTGGATATTGTCTATTTCTGGATAGGACGACTTTTGACACACAGTACGATGCGTTCGCACATGGACAGGCCCACCTTCACGTCTTAGACACAGTTCTCCACAGACAGTCCATCCAATAGCCAATTTGTGTGCCCAAGGTGTTCCTATCGGTCTATTACGAACTTCTCTGACTTTCATCAGTTCAGGAGCGTCCCGGGCAATGAGTAATGCAACCTCGGCTTTCCGGTCCAACGGTGGGATTTCTTTTGCAATATCTCACAGATGATGGAATTTCTTAACTAACTCGGGTGTTGGTATTTCCCGTTTGTCTGTAGGAATATTCTCGCATTCTACCAAGGTCGGCAATGGCATTGAAATTCCATTCGTTGACTTTACCACCAATCCAGGCACGCGTCGGCCATATCTAGTTTCTTTTGATCCACCGCAGGTAGATAAGAAGTACTTCTCCTTGGGTCCAACTATTCTAAGCTCATCTGCTAACTTCGGACATATCATGGAGGAATTGCTTTGCTCGTCAATCAAGGCATATACTTTAATAATGCGATCGGGTTCATCTTGTTGGAAAACTTCGAGTAACACAATCTTGCTACATGAGACTCTAGATATTGGTTGGCATTTGACGTTGGTACGGGCTGATGTTATATCTTCTTCCGTGTTGTCTTACTTCTTTAACTTCTCCATATGAAGTATATCTAAGTGACGCTTGCTTCCACATTTGTTACACTTAATGCTGGCTTTACATTCCCTAGCTAGGTGTTTTGATTGCAGGTATCGAAAGCAACGTCCAGCTTGTCTCAACCAGTCCGTCTTCTCTTGCAAAGTCTTACGTTCGAAAGCTCTGCATTCTGATAGATTATGTCCTTGTCTGTCATGGAAGGCGCAATGTTTAGTAACATCTTCCTGTTCTTCCATTTCGATTTCTCCCTTCAAGATGGTATGGTGGTCTTCGAATTTCGGTTTCTCTTTCCACTTTCCAGGCATATCTGTGGCTGTGACGTTAGGATGATTCCGTAAGCAAGATTGGCTTTTCATCATGTTGGCGAAAGCATGGAAATCAGGATAAGTGTCAGTGTTTTTTTCAGCAAACTCCACAACTCGTTTCTCCCATTTGGAACGAATAGATGTCGGCAAACTAGTTAAAATTGGTCGGATGGTGTGTGGATAGTTCAGGCAAGTCCAGGAAGTTGCTTAATCTGGGAAGACACATCGATACACAGATCTGAAAACGCCTGCAGACTTTTCTTATCCCTGTCAGTGAATTTTGTAGCCTCTTTCAATCGCGTCAGTAGTGTATTGGTTATGATCGCTACGTTGCCAAAACGATTTTCTAGCTCCACCCAGAGTTCTTTCAACAACTTGTTCGAGTCGCCATATTGTCTTTTGCGAAAACTGTTCACCAATTTCTGTGGTGCTCCCCTAGTGTACATGTGCAAATAGTTCATCTCTTGTTCTGTGGTTATCTCAGAGTCGCTAATCATACCCTTGAAAGAGCTTTTCCACGGATGTAACGTAGTTGCATCGCCGAAGAATATATCGGGGTGACATTTAGGAAGACTTATTCTTGCTAAACTGGCGGTCAATTTATCACTGGTTGCTGCGACGGCCCCCAAACATTTGTTTACCACTGTAGCTGGGTCATGTTCCACGGTTGTATACGGTGGGTAAGGTTGAACAGGGTTGTGGATGATGGGTGTACTCGAGGGTATGTTGTGGATAGTGGGTGTACTCGAGGGTATGTTGTGGATAGTGGGTACCGATGGGGATTTCTGGGTACCGATGGCAATTTCTGGGTACCGATGGGGATTTGTTGTGGTAACTGCTCTGAACCAGGATCAGTCGCAATTGGATCCGTCTGACGAGGCTGATCATCAAATCGAACGCTGAGCTTTCTCCTGCTGGTGACATTGGTTAGATTGGTGTCTGGAGCCACATTTTGTTGCTGATCTTGCACCCATGTTTTGGTACGTTGTCTCGAAGTGGCACTTGTGTCTTCGTCAAGTTTGCTTGGAGAGGATATTTCGTTTAATATAGTTCGTTCGATGGCATTTAGTTTTGCTTCTGCCAATTTAAGAATAATGTATACAGTCACAATGTTGAAGACTCGCCTTCTCTTGAAGAAAGCAAAAAGACCTATCAAGCCGTGATGGTATTTTTGATGAGTTGATCAATGACAATTCATGTTGTAATTATTGTGAGAAGGCAACAACATGTTCATTGAATCTTCACATAGAAAGTGCTGAATTTGAAAAGGAGTTTGAAAAGCTAATCCATTCCGGCACAACACCAGTAGATGCAGATGAAATCAGCAAACATAAAACCCCCATTCTTTACATGGTAAATAACAAATTAGCAGATGATGGTTGTAGAGAAAAAGGGGAAGATGTAAATTGTCAAAAAAACCCAGAAGACAACGAAGAAGAGAAAGTACTTCATCCAAGCCTCACAAAGACGTTGTTGGTCAACCAAAATTCCAAAACTCTATATGTCACCTAGCAGCAAAGGTAATGTGTATTGCTCTGTCACAGAGAGGATGTGGGTTGGTATCAGCATGCAGCTGTGTTGGCCTAGACCAATTAAAATCTAAACATGATAGTGAAGTTTATGATATCTAAACATGATAGAGAAAGAGTCACCATGCAAAATTCCACCTTCTGCAGCACATGATAGGCTTTGTTCATTTGTGGAATGAAAATCAGGTAAGATTACGGCACGGTAGATGCAAGAATTACATTTCATATTTGGATGCAACTGGAACATGGTTGCAAATCATGGTGGAAAACGTCTTTTATATTATGCATTGGTATGCCTAGACAAGTAAACACTGATTATTCTTGAGCAATACTGCTGGCTGTACTTAAAGAATTCAATAACAAGACTATGGTAGTGTTTTGGCAAGAACATTCAGAATCGTCCAAAGGAGAGAATTGGAAATGGATTTAATGTTAATAGTCATTTTATGCATATCGTTCACAGAAAGATTAAGCAGAAGACCTTGTGAAAGATGTATGGTATTGCTTTAACATGTATTCTATATCTTTGCTTGTGAATGTGAGAACTTTATATTATGAATTTGATACAGTCCTCAAAGATGTTGCAATGTGTTTAAGCAGTGAACAACAAACAGGTATATGTTACAAGTGGCATATCAGTGAGTCCGGGGTGGAGAATATAGCAGACCACAGGACCATTGGTCCCAGAACATTTTTTATGCTGGCAGAAAGAAACTAGGGATCCAAGGATAGTGTGAAGTTTCTGCACATTTGACTATTGTCTCAGTGACAACTTTAATTGAAATAGCT